AATCGATCAGCTTGTCTTAATTGTTATCTCATAAACGATTCACGTATCGCGTTCCAGTTCTTATGTATAATTTTCTTAGTTGAAACGCAATTTGCCTCCCAACTGGCTCATTATCGACAGCGCCAAGATAACCCGGTTTTATCCACATCTTGCATTTTGTATTATCCAGCTAAGAAGAGATTTTGTTATCTATATGTTTTTGCATATATAGCAAAATATATACTGTACACAAATAATGATTACTTGTTTCAAGTATTTCAAAAGTTCATACATTCGCGAATCTTTTGTAAGTTTATCACAAACATCAAATTTATATTCTGTATCTTAAGTTTGGTACTTAATTCAAGATTATTAAATTTAAATCAATTTTATTTGTTATTTATATAAAGTCGTTTTTTGATAAATTTTATTCTTTAAAATAAATTCTTGTTTAGAGTATAAATAATAATGAATTTTTTGTAACTTGTAATAACTATAAAGTTATTTTTCTTAATTTGTAGTAAATTTAAAATTATTATCAAAAAAATAATCGTTAACTTTACATTACTTAAAAAAAATATAATTAAGTAATAATTTTTTTTAGTAATGATATTCCTCTATATGTATGTGTATGTCTTCTGGTCAGTGATGTTTGAAATGTTCATGTTTTAATTTATAGTACAAAAAATATATTGTACATTTTTTTATTATTACTGTTATGAAACTAATTTCTGTATCATATTAAATTATAATAAAAAAAGGATATAAATTTTTCAGAAAATTTTTAAACATAATATCTGATGGAAGAATAAATATATGTATAGGGGAGAGAGAGAGAGAGGAGAAGAGAAGAGAGAATTGTTTGCTCATCGTAATATTCAATTTAAATTACCATTGTACCGTAAAGGTAGAATGTTACAAATATTTACACGTATTTTGCTCAGTTTGCTTTAGGACATTGATAAAAAATGAATTTGTGCATAAAAAACTTGAATTATTGTGGCAATTAATATTAATATTAAATTAAGTATATAATAACGTGCATATTTTTTTAATTGAATATGCGAAATATAATTATCGAAAATTGGTATTTTAAAAGCTTCGTGGACAATGAAAAAGAGAAAAAAAAGCAGAGATAGAGAGCGAATCTCGAGGACTTTGAACCGTAATAAATACGTCGTTGCTTGCATTCGCGTGCACGCACACACATATGTCGCTTACACACACCACAAGCGGGTTTCCGTGCAATCATTAATTAGATTAGCATATGCCGGAAAAAGATGCTGTCCGCACGTAATGCATCCACCTATATCCGTCGACGACGAAGATGCTATTATCTCGACGTACGTTAATGATATTATGGAATATCATCCGTCGTTGTCGCGCAACCATTTCTTTTTCTTTCTTTTTTTTTTCTACTATTTATATCTCATATGCGAGACACTTGCGAGTGTAAAAATAAAACTCACTGATGTGACGATCTAATATACTGAATTATTTTTATCTCACGGATACGCACTTTATCGATACGTATATTGAAATCTTGCTCGAAAGCGTGATTACATTTGCTTTGCCTCTACATCGTAAAAAGATAACGTGAATCTGATTAACATAAATTGCATAATATTTCTTCTACTTCTTTTTCTAAGTATTTCACAAAATGGTCAATAATTCCGTCTCTAGAATATTTATAATTTTTTTTGGTCGGAGGAATTTTTAGAAAAATTTTATTGCAATTTTTCTAGTATATTTAATTAAATTCTCGTTTGATTTAATTCTCGAAATTGTACGTCCTGAATCTGTATAAATAGTTAAATTCCACTATTTTTTCATTTCGCACTTAACCACTTCCATCGCGAGGAGTTCCATGGGCGGAGAGCCCATTTTTCTTTTCAATCACTTGCAATTCGAAGACAAGTGGCATCTCGGCACTCTGATCAAGAAATAAAAAAATACTTCGAATTCGAGAGAGACTTTCTCTATTCAGGCACGTATCATATATGTACATGCGAATCGTACTTCAGAGCCCGCAGGCAGCACGTAAGAGCTCTTCTCTTCGCGTATACGTGATCGAGATGCTCTCGTGCGCGAGACACATAAGCGAGCACATAACGCTCGTGTGTCTCTCTGCTGGAATGCAACGGCCTAGGTGAAATGCCTGGTTCTGTGCCAGAGACTTTAACCTCAATTTACAATAAAACACACACGTGAGGGAGAGAGAGAGAGAGAGAGAGAGGCAGAGGCAGAATATACGAGAGGGTGGATTCTTTCGCACGAACGCGCACGCGGCTCGTCTCCTAGAGCCTCGCTCTCTTTTCTCGTACAGAAATGCGAAAGTGCATGCAGCCAACAAAGGGTGACCTGTGCGAGAGGGAGGAATGCCGAATGAATTTTTCCGTAATATTAATTCGAGAAATTTCTCTTGATTCTCTGGTCATGGACTTTGGAAATCTTCTCGCGTTTTCATACGGTGACGTAATACTTCAGAAGATTAGATCTAAATGTCGGGGTTATTAGTACTTGCTGCCGGCATTTTCCGCGCCAGAATTAACACCATTGGCGATCTTATTGTAACGATTGTGACTGATACTTGTATAATTGAAGTAGCGTTATATAATATTAATTTTTAACGAAAATCAAAATATACTTTATATTATTAAAATGTTAATGAATAGGAGATGTATCATATATTGAGATAAAAAAAAAATATAAATAAAGACGTTAATTTTATTACTGTAAATGGAAGTTATTATAGATGAAAGATAAAATTGGAAGTACAGAATTAATATTTGATAAGATATTGGACCGATACTTTATACAATGAGAAAAAGAATATTAATTCTCTGAAGACTACTTTCGTATTTGCGTTTGTTTGCATCGCGTTACGTATTTTCCTGCGGAAAACGTATAATCATGCGAGACGATCGCGTTTGGTATGCCGAGGAAGATTACAGCGTGCCAAACGGCGTCATATCCCGGAGAGGAAACTTGGTGTAAAAAATTTCAGTAATTTAGCGGAGCGCTCTCAGGACCTAACTTCATTTTTGCGGAAGTCTAGGATTTTATTAAGAGATGCCTGAAATACCCTGACACGACGGATAATTCCGGTAATTTGGTCCGCACTTATTTTCGTTCCCTTTCTTTTCATCGCTGTGCACTGCAGCATTATGTTACGGTACATTATCTCGTGGTTCAACTAATGTACGTAGGCCACCTTCTCCCCTTTCTATCTTACGTAGTTTTAACAACCAGCTCGTGGTGAATATTTTACTCGGCTAAAATTTCGAAAAAGGGCCAATGAATTCCGAGCGATTGAGAATAAAATACCTCTTCTCGGAAGACAGCTGATGAAAACGCTGCTGTTTGTTTAGAGTTTAGCCTTTCAAAGTGTTAGTTTGTAATTTTGCATTTCATTACAACGCCCCTTGAGAGTCTCGCTGAGGGACATTAGACACCGAACTCGTAGAATTCGTCGTTAAAATTCGGTCGTCGTTTCCGCGTGTACACGCGAGACATTTCCTCGCTCACGTTTATCTTGAAGCGCGCTCGCGCTCGCGTTCGTTTATCACTGCGGCAATAAACGCGGCAGTTAAACGAAGACGGTAACCCGTCTTGTCCTGGTCCGCCTCGTTCCTTCCGCGCTGTTCTTCGGGTGCTAGTGGCTTTACGAGGGACGACGAAGAGCCCGGACTGTTACGATTATCTGACTGCGGGTATACGTACGTACATTCGTACCACACATAGCGCAAGCAAGGACGAAGAGTAATGAAATACAACGACGACGACGAAAATGATGTGGGAAGGAGACAGAGATCCCGAGCCATCGAAAGTCTATAAAGTCTTGCGGTTGGCTGCGCGACTTCACTCATGGCAAAAGTTGTACGAATGTCACGCGTCTTATCGATTGCTCTGAAAGATGTAGCAAATGTTCTTTTATCTGTATTATACGTATTGAGATGTTTGAAACGATTATTTCTTGCGTTTCCACCGCATGGAATGCAGCACGACGTTCTTAATTCCGACGTTATTTCCATTTACACTTTAAATAAACGGATATTTCTTACAAGCGTTTCCTGAAAACAGGGCAAGAGCATCGCGATTTTTCCGAATTTTTTTATTACATTATTTTTTACTTCATTACTGCTTTATACATTATTATTATAAGGTTATTATTATTTTGACGAGTTCTGTAATCGTCGAAAATCGATTCTGCCGCAGTGTATAATTATAGTTGAGCCGCAATGTCCGTGGCGTGTCTGTAATCTGCGTGATCGGTCGAGCTATAATAAATCGGTACAATCGTTTATTTTTACCCACAGTCAGCTGACTCTGAAAGAAAGCATGGTAACATTTTCGTTGCACGCGATGTATCAGCATTCGATGCTCAATCTATGTCTGTGATTTGTCTTCGTTAAAAATCAGAATAATAGTAACGTTTATTTAAGTAGATCAATCTACTTTTAAATCAAACATGGAAGAAAGTACCAAATACGGTCGAGGCTGGATTAAGTGCTTAATAATATTTCTATGTAAATTTTAAATTGTACCTTTCAGTTATATAAACTGAGCGCTAGTTACAGTCGCGATTATAAACTCACAATCTCTCTACTTTGATTCAAGATTTATTTTCTTGTAAAATATTACTAAAAGTTTGTACAAATATTTCTATATGTTTGAATGATCAATAAAAAGTTACGTTTGCACATATATTGAGAGAAAAATTTTTCATATCTGTAACTATTTACATATCATTGTGATTATTGCTGCTACGATATTAGTAACAATATAACTATATATACAATATATTTCTATCAAAAACAGATATATATATCGTCAATTGAAAATGATCATGAATTGTAGTAGCAAGTAATTATACAA